GACCCTGGCTCTTAGCCTTTTCATCTCCCTCAGAACGGCCCCCAATGGGAATCCTTTGATTCCCATACATTTTCTTCTTGTCTTGAACCGTGACCAACCAGGACTCATCCTCATCCTTAGCTCGGTCACACAAGGCTTCAAGTTTGGTGGCTCAGGCAAACCTCCAAACCATGGTAAGGTGCTTCCCAGCTTGCCGCGGGAATGGGCCCCATCACTTCCCCGCGCGTTGTCGAAGAATAGTGGAGGCGATCCCTGTAGGGGATCATTGCTCCGTCATGCGACGTGATCAGGAAGCATTTCTCTGCATTCTGCATCACGTGGCCCTTGTCCCTCTGCCGTCGCTGCCGGTGGGATTTCTCATCATGATGCAGAATGATTGATGTTTTCGACTTGGGAACAGCCTCACCCTCGGGGGTTTTGATGCTGCTCAGCAGGGCTGCTTGGATGCCTGACATCTTAGCATGCGAAATATAATAAGAAAGCCCAACACTCTCATCGGAAATACAACGAAAATAGTATACCCCAAAATGTTTAATTAAGGTTCGGGGTTTTCAGGGTTTAGGGCTTAAGGTTCATTGGTTCAGGGACGGAAGGGTTGTTTAGGATGTGAATCCTGCCTTCACGGCCCCCGTCCATCATGATAATGACATCACTGGCTGGCAGGCTGCCACCCTGGATGCGCTGCGAGAGGGCCGCGGACATCAGCTTGGGCAGGCGGCCGTCCCGTAGGGAGGGCACTCGCACATTCGGTTGCGTCTCAGCCTCCCCCGCCACTTTACTGTCCTAGGTCGGGTATTGAAACCATTAAGCCCAAAGCCCACGAAACCCAACCTTGAATTAGGCTCTGAATGTAGCTTGGCATTCACATTATTAAATCAAAGGCCAAGGCTCAAACCAGATCACAAAGGACTTTTTAATCACAGTCCTTGCCGTGCAGAGTGTGAAAGATGCTTGCTTGAGACTATTAAATTAAGTTAGATTAGATGCTGTAAATATCAACCGGGGCTCTCATGCATGACTTGCAAAGTCTCGCCGCGGAACTCTGAAGCACTAGTCTTTTGCAATGCCTTGATCATCTCGTCCGATTTCAGCTCCTCCTTCACCAGGAGGACGTGCGTGCGTACGGTCTTGACAGCCTTCTCCCTGTACCTGGGCTGCAGTGTCTGTTGTTATTTGGGGTTTGGACTACTAAGGGTTAGGCTTCTTTAATGCCTAGTGGCATGGCCAGTTTCCGAGTGTTCTCATCATCCAGGGTGGGCATAGGCTTCTTTCCAGAGGCATCAGCTTTGACCTGAAAAGTTGAGGGTTTAGGGGTTTAGGGTTTAGTGGCTTAGGGTTTAGGGGTTTAGGGCTTAATTAGGGATGCAAAAAGGGTTTAATTAGGGGTTTAGGGGTTGAAGGGTTTAGGGGTCTAGGGTTTAGGTTAAGGGCTTTGGGGTTGAGTGGTTTAGGGGTTTGGGGGTTTTAGAGTTTTTACGGTTTTTAAGGTTTTTAGGGTTTAATAATTAGGGGTTTTAGGGATATAATTTCTGGGTTTAACGGTAGTCAATCAATGTGAAGTGGGGGCTTTTGGCTTGGGTTCAGGAGCTTAGATCTCAACCCTAAGCTACATTCCCAAGCCCTCTATTCCAAAGCCTAAACCCCTATTCCCATTTAAACCCCAAAAACCCAAAAACCCTTGAGCCCTACAAACCTTAAAAACCCTAACCACTCTAAAACCCCCAAACCCCTAAACCCTAAACCCCTAAATTTTTAAACACCTAAATCCCTAAACCCCTAAACCCTGAAGCCAAAAAGCCCTAAAGCCCATAAGCCCAAAAGACCCTGAAACCCCTAAATACCCTACACTCCAAAAACGCTTGCATGTATTTTTGTAACTAAGTTAAAGTGAGGGGGCTATCATGAGCATGGGATTTTGGGCGTTATTTCTGGCTGGGATGACATTTAGACAGAGAGAGAGACAGAGAGAGACAGAGAGATAGAGAGAGTGACAGAGACAGAGAGAGAAACAGCTGAGAGTGAGAGGTTTGAGTGAACAACGGAATCCAAAGAAACAGTGGACTAAAGACAGGCACCACTCCAAGTTTGTTTTCTTCCGCCCTGGCATCAGCGTTGCTTCCTGTCTTGCCGGCACATGACTACGGCTGCTGACATGCGGGTCGCTTCATCGTCTTGTTCTTCTTGACACTGGCCGCCGGCTTGCCTTTCTTGATTTCCTTCTGCTGCTTCGGCTGGGCTGCGGGACGCTTCTGTGCCTTCGGCGGCTTATCCAAGATCTTATCCATGAGGAAGTGCTCCCAAGGCGTACGAGGCATCCTACCGGAGGTATTTGCTGCAGGACGCTTCTCTGCATTCGGCTTCGCGTCAATGGCCCCAGCATCCTTTTTCTCGAGGAAGCACTCCGGAGGCGTGGGAGGGGGGCTGAGGGAGGAAAACTCAAAGGAGTCTTCGGCATTGGTAATGGAGGAAAACTCAAAGGATGCTTCTGACCCATGTGCCATCTTCTTCGGCCGCCTTGGTGTCTCCATACCTATGTCTTCACCCGACTCTGTCTGCTGTGCTTGAGAGGAAAGCCTGCAGAGGTGAGAGTAATCCAATCCCATAATTTAATAAGAAGACAGAAGACAACTGCATGCCGACGTAGCTACAGCCCTAAACCCTAAATTGAAAGCCCTAAGTAAGCCTAATTTAATTAAACATCCCTGAATGAAAAAACGCACGCCTTGAGGTGAGCGTGCTCATCCTGCTCCTCCTTGACGTCCAGGTCCTGTTTTTCCTCTTCTCCATCTTCCTGCTCTTCTTTGCCCTGTCCGCAGGGTCTAGGGACGGCACGGGTTTATTAAATAGGGTTTAGGCGGGCGAATTACATTAAGGGCTTAGGGGTTTTATGTTATTAGCAGGCTGAATATTATTATGGGATCAGAATCTGAGGCCTAAAGGGTTTGGGGTTTGGGGTTCAGGCAGTTAAATGTTCGGTTTGGACTTAGAGACGGATTGTTTCAGGATTGCGCTTCGGATAACCTTTTTTTTATTACATTTAGGAAATCAATAAAATCAGAGAGCCAGGTTGAGGGTTCAGGGTTTCAGGGGGCTTAGGTTTTAGGGTTTAAGTGCAGTAGTACCCTGGTTCAGGTATTCCAAGCTGGGGCAGGCTAATTATGGGATCAGACTCTGAGGCCTCAAGGGTTTGGGGTGTAGGGTTCGGGCAAATTAAGTGTTCGGTTTGGACTTAGAGACTGATTGTTTCAGGATTGGCGCTTCGGATAACGATTCATTCGGGCTTAGGCTTAGGGGGCTAAATTAAGTTTAGGATACAGTAGTACCGTGGTTCAGGAATCTGAAGCTGAAGCAGGCTCATGGGCCCAGAATCTGAGGCCTAAGGGTTTGGGGTTTATTAGGGTTCGGGCAATTAAGCGTTCGGTTTGGACTTAAGACTGATTGTTTCAGGATTGGCGCTTCGGATTGACGTGTTTAATTTGTACTCTAGGCTTAACAATCCCCAGGATCGCGGGGGCTACGGATCTCAGTAAAATGAGAGAGGCAGGTTTTGGGTTTCAAAGGGTTCAGAGGGGGGTTTAGACATTAGGGTTTTGGGGGGTATCTGAAGCTGAAGTAGGCGAAACCCGTAAACCCGAAAGCCCAACCCTAAGCCCAACCCTAAGCCCAACCCTAAGCCCCACTGCCTAGCGCTTTGCAAGTGGAGCCGAAACGACGGCCTTTTATGAACACGATGGACGCTACAGGCTGTGCGCTTGCGGGCCGGCCGACCCTCGACAGAACAATTGCATGGACATCGAGAATGTCTTTCATCACTGCGCGGCTCCAGTCGGACCCGCACGCCCTGTCCCGGCTACTACGGCAGAGGCACGAACGGGGGCTAGCATTGCCTTACAACGTGGCAGACAACGTCATTGCGGCAGTGATCACCAACCAGAGCCCATGAGTTTGGGGTTTAGGGTTTGGGGTTTAGGGTTTGGGGTTTAGGGTTTTGGGTTTAGGGTTTTAGGCCTTTTGTCGAGTGCAATGGCGCCCCTACTTTAAGTGTAGTTTTCGGTTTATGAGCTTGAGTTCCGAAGCTACGGTTGGGTTTTTTTTCGGGGTTCAGGGTAATCGGTAGGGTTTATTGGCTTTACTTAAGGCACCCCTTTTAATCTTCGAATGTTAAGTTATGTGAAGGCTTCGGGATTTTGGGTTTAGGGTTGAGGCTGTGACACTAAAAGAAACGATCCCCGCCTCTTGCTCCTTCTCTTGCTGCTCTTCTTCATACCTCCTCAGAGCAAGAGACTTGGACTTTCAAATAATAGATTATATACTGAGTTGCCGACTCCAGTGCGGCCATAAAGGGCTTGTCGATATCCTGATGGTCGACCCAGTCCACCACCTGCAATTCGGAGGATTAGGACCAGGAGTAAGAAAAAGTGACCACCGCCCCGCCTGTTTTCGGTTCTTCAGCAACTGCTTGTACGTCCCTAAGTACGCCTCTGAGAAGCAGCAAGCCTGGCAAAGATCATGCGGCGTTAGGGTTTTAGGGCTTAAGTGTTCAGGGTTTAGGGTGAATTGTGGTTTAGTTTAAGTCCTAATTTTTATTGCCTGGGCTTCTTTATCGGTGTAGCCCCACTCAATGAAGCCTCCACATGCTCGAAGAACATGATGGCTGATCTTGGCCAGCCTTGTCGCAGGTCAGCCAAGAATTATGCGGCTTTGGGCCCGCCTGCCGTGCCTGCGCGCCACGTGAGGTCCACCATCTCACCCTTGTTTCCACAGTGCCTGACGGTTTAGGGATGTTTAGGGTTCAGGGTTTAATATTTAGAGTTAGGGTTTAGGGTTTTGGGTTCAAGGGCCCGCGCTCACTTCATTACTGGGGCTCGTGCTTTCGATAGGACTCGTGGGATTCGAGAACTTCCAGCATTTTGCTTTTCACGGCGTTGTCCCAAGCGAATTTCCTTGGGGATGCACTAAGTAAGTAGTAGACTTGCAATGTTTCAAGGTCTGAGCTGCAATTAATAGTAAACACAGCCTAGCAACCCGATGGAGCTCGTTAGCAGCATCTTCTTCATCTCCAGTGTTCCAACCAATAAGGCTCCGGTCCCTCCTGGAAAACTGTCACCTTTCAGGGCTCGCTGAGACAGGAACTCGGTCCCAAGCCACTTGTTCAAGTAGCCATCCCACCTCAGTTGAAGTCAGGGACTGTTAAGCATGTTCTTTCAATCGGGAATTTAAAAGGGTCTAGGCCTAGATAGTATTTTCTTAGAGTTCAAAGTTTACGGATTGGTTTAGATTTTTGTGACTTTGCATGACACGTATTCTGGTTGCTGCGGGGGCTCACTGACGAGAAGGCCCAACGGATCCCATCTTCCGACTTGCCCTTCTGAATCAGAAGCTGCATTTTCGTGTAGTGATCAAACGGACTGCCCTTGGGATGCTCATCCGCTTTGAGCAACAAAGCCGCCAGTTTCTCATCCTTCAGGACCTAGGAGACATGATGATTGTAATGTCAAACATTCCCCTAAACCCTAAACCCGAAACAACAGAGTAACTACATCATGCTTCAGAATTCAAATGAGCAGCGCGTTTTCCCATGGTCAGGGCCGTGTCAACGAAGCTATCACTGACCTCAGGCCCCGTGTTCGATTGAAGTAAGGATTCTCTTGTCATGTCGACACGGGATGTACACATGTAATGGATTTTGACTGACAATTGAGTCCGCGGGACCCTCTCATTCTCGCTGGCATGCTTGAAGTTCTCCTCATAGAGTTTGCAGAACTCCTCCACACCTTTGTTGTGATCATTCAGCCCTAAATTTAAACTCTATTGTAAACCTAGTCGGTTGAACACTACAATGCCAAGTCCCTTAGCAAATGAACCTGTCAGGCTGCTCATCTCCTTGCCTCCATTGGCACGCTCGAGGCGGGCCTTATGATTGAGGACGCTATAGATCTTCTGAAGGCACGTGAGGGTCATCGTGAGGTCCTGGTGTTTCTTGGATTGTCGGGCATTTTGAGCAAGCCAGAACTTGTCAGCATCACCGCAGACATGGTAGGAAAAGCTGACCTCAGACAACATCTAGCTTGGACATGAAACGTGCAGAAGAACACAACAGAATCAGTAAGCCATGCTGCCGTCAGGAAAGCGAATTTCCACGCCTTCATTTTCTCCTCATCATGCAAATCGCGGCGTGCGGCCCTTGGCGGGTTTAATTAAGGTTTAGGGTTCGGGCTTTTAGGGTTTTAGGGGTTAAGGGTTTGGGACCTCGGCGGTTTTTACTTGAGGTTTAGGGTTCAGGGTTTAAGTTTAGGGTCTATTAAAACCAATGACGGGTTAAAATTCATGGCGGGTTTTAGCGTTAAGGGTTTGGGACCTGGGCGGGTTGAATTAAGGTTTAGGGTTCAGGGTTTAAGGGTTTTGGATTTAAGGGTTTGCG